GGTGGCCTGCGCCACCTTGATGGCCTTACCATCCAGGGACTTGCCGTTCATGTCTCTGGCGGCGGCCTTGGCGTCTGCCGGGTTTTCGAAGGTGACGAACGCGAAGCCCCTGGACTTGCTGGTTTCTCGATCCTTCATCAGGAGCACCTCGGTGATGCGGCCATACTTGCCAAACGCGGTCTCGAGGGTTTTCTCGTCGGTTTCGGGGTTGAGCCCGCCGATGAAGAGCTTCCCCGGGCGATCCGCTTCCACCATGTCTGCGGGTCGAGCGGTCAGTGGCAGCGTGAGGCGGAGGCGCGGCACACGTCGTGGCCTTCGAGCCCGCTCCCCGAGGGCGACCCCTACCGGTCGGGCGGCGCGTCGTCGCGTCGTCGCGTCGTCCCCGGAACCGCGGTCGCCGCCCCCGCTGCGCGGGCAGAACGCTCCGGGTTGTGTCCTCTGGGGTCGGGTCCTCGCAGCCTGGCCCGCTCTTGCAGGTTGTGATTGGTTGGTGGTGTCGGGAGGGCAGTCCCACCGTCCAGGAAGGTTCGCGGTTTTGCGGCTTTCTTTCCAGTCATTCGACTTCGACCGATTAACCTACCCTTGGCTTAAGTTCTTCAGTTCACTCCTGAAAGCACAGCTGCAAAATGAGAAGTCGTTAGGTTAAAAAAAAATTCCCCCCCATTGTTCTTCCTGAGAGGAATTTTAATACATTACAATCCAAGTTACCGAAACCACATTCAGACGGAAAAATTAACTGAAAAATGAAATAATGACAATTTAAAAGTTTTAAAATGCAGTTTGTATGTAGTGTATTAAGAATAAGATTTTTTGCATTGCCGAACGGGGAGAGAGAACTTGGTAAGTGTGGAATAGGAAGATGAGGGAGTCATTCTTTGTACCATCTTTCCCTTCTGCATCGTTTTCTTCCATTTTTCAACTTTCAAAAGCCTCATGGTTATGTAGTGTTGGAACTGCCCTTTAAGATAAACATTGAAACAGAAAGTCACTTGAGGGACAAAATAAAGACGAAATGTAAAAGCACTTGGACCCTCTGGAAACAGGCATACCTCAGAAAAACAAAACATTTGGGGGTCATTCAGGCAGATTACACAATTCAGATTTTTTCCTCACGATATTTTCTGAATGGAAATAAGTGTGACGAGTAAATAGGTGAACCATCTTTCCCAGAGATTGTAATGTCTAAAGACACCTTTTTAAAAAACTATCTTTACTCAGTGCTGTTTGTGCATGTATATATTTACTTATGTTATATTGTTTGCTGCAATAACCATATAACATTGAAAAAGGTAGTGAAAGCAGGTGTTTTTACGTTTTGATTTGAATAGCGAATCTTTTAAGGTTTTGAGATTTTTTTGCATGCTTGAATGGAAGTAAAGTTTAAATGCATCAGTTCATGTGATGAACTGCAGTAACAGATTTTTATTATTAAATAATTATTATATTTCTAAGGTAAACTTGTTTGGAATGTATTCATTCTTAATTATATTAACGATTTTTGTTTGCTCATACTTAGAAATTTTACATTTCTGAGCATAAAGGGTATCAGCCAATACTTTTTTCCCCCCATACTGAGTGGAGATTTCTCCTAAATTTCTTCTAGTTTTCAGTCTATTCAGATTTTTAAAAATTTCTTCTTGACTTGGTCTTTGGAAGATATACTTTTTTCTGGGAGTTATCCTTTTTACTTTAACTTTAAATTTTATCAATAGCCATGTCCTGTTTTGCTTTCTCTTTTTTGTGACCAGTGTTACCAGAAGTTGTTTATATTTTCAAAATACAAGCCTTTTTCTTTGCTGATCCTCTGTATTTTATTTGCTGCTATTGTCTTTTTTTCCCCTTCTTTCCATATTCTTTTGGTTTAGAATTTGTGTTATTTTTGTTCTAGTTAGGTGAGACACAGTGCATTAAGTTTTAAAAAAAACATTTCTTCTACTTGTATCGAAGTTTAAAATTTATTCTCAATGTACTTACTAGTTAACAGCATGTCCTGAGCTGATACATGGTGTTTTCATTGTTTAGTTCCTAACATTTTCTCATTTTTCGTTTTCTTGACTCACGAAGAATTTTTAAAATTTTCAAACGTGTATTTTTGCTTATTCTTTAACTTGCTCTATACGATCCATTCATTGGTGTCTGCTGAGACTTGCTTTGTGACCTAACACACTGTGTGTTTGTATGTGTATTTTTTTTATGTGTGTCTGATGTTCCATAGATGCTTGAGAAGTGTGTTCTCGAAATATTTGGGAAGAATTCTTTCCTTACATAGTGATGGTCAAGTCTTCCTTATCCTAACTTATTTTTTATTTGATAGAGTTGTCACTGAGAACTGTTTTAAAATCGCCTAATTGTGGATTTGTCAATTTCTCTTTATTTTTATGTCCATTTTTGCTTCATGTAATTTAAGATTATACTGTTAGATATGTAAAAATTAAGAATTGCTATGTGAATGCCTTTATTATGTAATGATTCTCATTATTCATAATATTTTTACCTTAATTTGTCCGATATTTATATAGCTCAGTATTTTTCAGATTTTTTTCTGCCAGCTTAGTGTATGCTGTCTGTTAACTATGCCTTTCTTGCCTCTTTTTCCCCATCTTTCTTGCTTTCTCTTGTATCACAGGGTTTGTCTTCATTCATTTCTCTAATAATGCGGACACAGTCTTATGAGTGGGTAAAATAGTCAGTGGTCCCAAGGGTCTGGGACTCCTTGACAAAGGAGGCTCACGCACTGTTGTATCAAAACCAAACCACTGGTGGATTCCTAACTAGAGCTGCAATTAGATTGAGAGAATATAGAAATGTAAGGATTGATAGGATTTAAGTGGAAGTTGGGAATGTTTAAACATCTAATGCTTTACATGATGTGATTGGGTCTGTCTCTTTTACTTGAATGAATTATGTGGATGGACGTTGCATTGTAAAACCCAAGGCATATAAATTCACCTTTCAGGCAATATTAATTGGACATGGTCAATGGGAACAAACAAGATCGCCTGAGCCCACACAGTACAGAATAAAACCTTGAGTGCTGGTATCGAGTGAATTCTCTGTACCATAGACCTATCTGGAATGTATACTGGGGCTAATAGCAGAAGCCTGTGAACGCCCCACAGAACTGACTGGAGAATTTCTATTTGAGGGGCAGTTACTAGCTTGCTATTGGACACTGTCCCTATGACTGAAGGACATAAAATAATCTTATCACCTCATACCCATTAGTATGGTTACTATCAAAAAAAGAAAGGAAGAAAGAAAGACCAGAAAAACAAATGTTGGGCAGGATGTGGAGAAATTGGAACACTTGTGCATTATTGGTGGGAATGTAAAATGGTGCAGCTACTATAAGAAACAGCATGGTGGTTCTTCAAATAAATAAAAATAGAATTACCATATGATTCAGCAATCTACTTTTGGGTATATCTACAAAAGAATTGAGTCTCAGATATTTTACATCCGTGTTCATAGCAGCACTACGTACAATAGCCAAGACATGGAAGCAATTTAAATGTCCATAGATGATTGGATAAAGAAGTTGTGAGATACAAACGTATACACACACATATTTATCATACATATTTATATGCCATTTGCAGCAACATGTATGGACCTAGAGATTATCATATAAGTAAAGTAAATCAGAAAGACAAATACATCACTTACATGTGGAATCTAAAACAATGACACAAATGAACTTATTTACAAAAATAGAAAGAGACATAGAAAACAAACTTATGGGTACTAAAGGGGAAGGGAGGACATAAATTAGGAGTTTGAGATTAGATACAAACTAGAATAGACAAACAACAAGTCCTACTGTACAGCACAGGGAACTACATTCAATAGCTTGTAATAACCTATAATGAAAAAGAGTATGTATCTATATATGTATAACTAAATCACTTGTTGTACATCAGATATTAACACAGCATTTAAATCAACTATACTTCAGTTCTAAAAAAGAACCATTACAGTACGTATTGCACTAATTTGCATCACCAGGTGACATTTCTTCAGACCAAGGAACATCCTTTACAGCCCCTATTGTGAAGAGATGGACAGAGAGCTCTCCTGCTTAGAGTAATAGTTCGGTAGAGAGTTGGAATGGACAGTTAAAACATCGGTTGTCCAAAGGGCTAGATATAGTCACGAAGGGCTGGCTTGCACATCTTCATGAGTGTGCACACACACACACACAAGTCGGGCTAAGGAGTGTCCTCACTAGAGTCCTTGTCTTTTTACTGGTGGATCTGGGATGGAGGAGGATGCTAGTAAGACTATGCAGTTTTTCCCACAGGGGGGATGACTGATAACTATAATTTTTTCTTTCTTTCCCACATCACCTCACCTTTCTTTTTCTTACATGTGATGAAATATGTATCTATCATTCATTTCTTACAATGATTTATAGCAAGTGCCCACTTTGGAGAAATTCATTTCTGGCCCTTTTTAGGGAAGTGGCTTCACAGATTGGGACACTGGTGATTATTATGAGTCGTGAAACTGACCAAGCAGCAAAGATCTGGGAACTACAAGAGAAAGGAGAACCCAGGACAGCAAGTAACGAGAGCAGTCGCAGCCTCAAAGCTCTGTCTGGGGTTCTGCTTTCTCTGGTATGGAGACCAGGGTTGGGGTCGCCTCCTTTCCAGGCATGCCCACGCTCCTACCTGGCGCCCTAAGCCGAGTTCTGACCGCACCTGTCTTAGGGACAAAGACCGGCACCCACTGAGAAGCCAGCCCGGCCAGTGGTGCCCGCCCCTCCCCACCTACAGCTAGCGCCAACCTGCTCCCGTGGGGCGGCTAAAGCCTGCTGAGCTCCTTTCCTCAACTACCTAGGATCCAGGGACACCCACTGGATGTGGAGGCTGCGATTCCAGAAGCCTCCGGAGAGCTGGCTGTTCCTGGAGCAGTCTTCCAAACTGTGGGAGTCAGTGGGTTTTCCTGTGCTAAAAAGATCACCTGCTTCATTGAGTTGCTGGGAAGCTGGAAAGTAATGCAGATGTTCCCAGGAGGAGTAGGATATTTTTGCTTTCATTCATTTATTGAGAAATCTGTGTTAGTGGTAGGAAGGAAACACGGTGGTGCTTCGTTAGGAAATGGGGAGAAGGTGCTGGTACTTAGAGTGCTCAGCGTTGGGGAGGAGGTGATAGTGAAACTGCAGTCTGTAGATGATCCAGAGCCGGCTCTGTGAAAAGTGGAAGAGCAGAGCAGGTAGTGAGCACCTGCTCTATGGCAGGCACTGTACTAGGTGAAGGAGATTCTGAAGGTGATGACAAATAGTAAAGGGGGCTGTTAAACGACTAATCACATCTGAAAGACAAAAGTACTAACATGTGAGCTCATAGTCTTTCTTCCCCCTGTTGCTATAAAGGAACCCATTAGTTTTCACCCTGTCCTCTGTTCTTAAAGAAGTATCAATATTTGCTGGGAGAAGATTTGTGATGATAAAGTAATGAAGACTAAGGCAGGAAGAGAAAAATATTACAGAGGGAACAATATATGCAAAGGAAAACAGACACAATGATAAGCTAATCAGTGTTTTTCTATTTGAAAGTACTGTTGTCGACCTGGAGACTGGCATGCTAAGTAAGCCAGAAAGAGAAA